TTTTAGAGGGTCTGGACTCTAATTGATTGCTAGCGATCAAATCGGGTGACACCGTCGGGTCCTAGGACACTAAAAGTGTTCGAGTTGGCGTGGCATCACCCCACAGCTGCCGGCGTGCCGCGGCGTGCCTACACTGAGACAAGGTGGTGCCCTGAAACTGACCGACTAAGTCGCCCGCCCCAGTTTTTAGGGCGACTTGAGTCGCCTACTTTCTGGACGACACAGTCGCCTAGTTTCTGGGCGACACAGTCGCCTAGTTTTAGGGCATCTTGGTCGCAAATACAGAGCTTACTTATCTATGCTGGCCCAAGGCATTGCACACTAAATTACTATGTAGGTTTTTCTGCGCGCTAATGCACGAAATTGTACATGCACTTCGTAACGCACGAATTTGTGCGCGATAATGCACGATTTCGTGCGCAAGTATGCAGGAAATCGTGCATTGTCGCGCACAAATTCGTGCGTTAGGAAGTGCATGTACAATTTCGTGCATTAGCGCGCAGAAAAACCTACATAGTAATTTAGAGTGTGCACACAAGTTTGCCTGCACATGGATAAACTCAATGATTTCACATTTGGGAGGCGTCAGAGATGCCCCGAATCTAGGCGCAATAGGTGCCCCGAATCTGGGCAGCAGTGGTTTACATTAGGTCGGACCAACCCCAAAGGTGCTCAGGTTGAGGGCGCCTTGGGCCACCATTCATAAGTAAGCTCTGTATTTACGACCAAGATGCCCTAAAACTAGGCGACTGTGTCGCCCAGAAACTAGGCGACTGTGTCGCCCAGAAAGTAGGCGACTCAAGTCGCCCTAAAAACTGGGGCGGGCGACTTAGTCGGTCAGTTTCAGGGCACCACCTTGTCTGAGTGTAGGCGCAGTCTGGCCGGTTTGGCAGACGGCTGCCGGACGGCTGTCGCGACCTCGCCGATGGCCTCCACGATGACCGCGCGAGGATGGCTGCGATATCGGATCGCTCTAGCCGAAGGTTCCGATGGTGCTCGCTATCGGTCTGGATCGACTTTCAAAACAATCCGAAGGAACTTTGTTCCTGTTTAAAGTGGCAACACACTAGAGAATCGGGCTGCCTCGCGCTTCTCGGACTTGGCCGGCTGATACAAACAGCAGGACTCGTGTCGGCAACATCAGCCTTGGGACGATGATTGGCGCAGTCATTGCAGTACTTCATGCGGAGCGTGTGTCGTGTTCTTGTGCAAAAGTTCCCTTTGACTTAGAGGGCAACACACTAGAGAATCGGACTGCCTCTCGCTTCTCGGACTTGGCCGGCTGATACAAACAGCAGGACTCGTGTCGGCAACATCAGCCTTGGGACGATGATTGGCGCAGTCATTGCAGTACTTCATGCGGAGCGTGTGTCGTGTTCTTGTGCAAAAGTTCCCTTTGACTTAGAGGGTCTGTGCCGCCGCCGCACGGGGTTGCCGCGCGTTACGCAAGCAGCGAGGGGGTAAACACTTCAAGAAATCGTGTACAGACTACTCGGTATTACGCTGTATTACGGGGGTATTACACGTGTATTACGGCCCTAAAATGCCAAAATTTGGCACTTTTGACCCAAAAATGGTATAACGAGCACGTGTATTACGCGTAATACACGGTTTTTGTGTACAGGGTATTACGCGAGTGGTTACCCCCTCGGCAAGCAGGCGAAAGTTCCCACGATGCGCCCGTGCCGAAAGGGTTGCCGAATTGGACCAGCCTCCGTGGAAACATCTCGATATTCGCCTAGTAGGCAGGCAGCGGTTAGGCAACCCTTTCGACTTTGGTACACACCGGGGCACAGTGGGCCAGTAGTGGAGGCGTCCAAAATTCTGGACGCGTTTTGAGCTCCAGAGTCGCCAAATGGGAGTCGAACCGAACGTATGATCCCACCAATAGATTGCTCTCCGAACGAGGAATCCATTGGTGGGGTTACACGTTTGGTTCGAGTCCTGTTTAGCGACTCTGGAGCTCGAAACGCGTCTAGAGTTTTGGCCGCCTCCGCCGGTCTTCCAGCCCACTGTGCGGGTTTTTCTGCCTGCCTGTCTGCAAGCGCCTGGCGACCCTGTCTCGCGGGGTGCAAGGGCCTCGGGTGCCTCATTTTATTCCGTGCAATTTTAAAAACTAACTTGCCACTTCTCCGGCTGAGAATGAGAATCCTTTCTTTCCTCGGGCGCGACGCCGCGGCGCGCTGGCGACTCCCGGACCTATTCTCTTCATTCTCTCCGTGATTATCTCTGGAATCAGTGACATGGCCGCCGCCGCGCTCCGCTCCGCACGCTCCGCCTCGCCGGGACGGACTCGGCCGACGGCACGCCGACGGGGAGGACTCTGGACAGGCGGCGTCGTAGTAAACAGGGTAAACATCACGGAGCGTCCAATAAACAACCAGGAGGAGGAGAACGATGTCGACGGCCCAGAAAAGTATCGGTGGGCGCGGACAACAACCCTGTCTGGCAGATGGAAAGTCCCCGCCGGCCCCCGCCCCACCACGTGCTGCGCCGCTGCGCCGCTGACTGACCGCACACCGTCGCGGATCAGCGATTCGGGGACGCGGGTTCAAATACCCACTCGGACCGACTTCCCCCTCATTCCGCGCTGTACTTGTTCCGTTTTTTCCTCCGCCAGGAATGTGCATGTCACAGACGCGGGCTTCCGCCCTTCCGCCCAGCAGGAGTGCGCGTGACCGTTTCATTTTTCGCCACAACATCGCAAAAAACGGTGTTGTTTTGCGGCGATCACTGCTCGCCGTCAGCAGAGGCCCGGCAACCCAACGCGGCGCCTACCTCAGCCTGGCGGGCGTTGCGCGTGGCAGGGAGGCCGGTGCACAGTGGGCCGGGAGACCGGTCATCATCATCATCATCAGCGCTGTTAGGCCTCAGCAGACCTCTAGCGTTCGAGTAAGCAGCTACTGTAAGCGAAGGACTCAGACTGCAGGAGGCGGACAAAGTTCTAGACGCGTGTTGAGCTCTACAGTCGCTAAGTGGGACTTGAACCGCCCGTGTGACCCCACCAATGGATTCCTCGTACGGAGAGCAATCCATTGGTGGGGTCACACGTTCGGTTCGAGTCCCATTTAGCGACTCTGGAGCTCAAAACGCGTCTGGGATTACGGCCGCCTCCCTCGGCCCACTGTGCGGTGGGGCGTTCGCGCGTAGCGTACCCCCTCCGCCGGCCGGTCCGCCCCGGCGGCGGACTTGTAAACAGAACTAACCTCAGCCTCAGGCTGCGTGCGGAGTGCGGACGCACAGTGCATCAGGCCGATCAGGCCTTCCCTTCCCTTGCCCGTCTGGGGCGTACGGCCGGTACGGCGTACGGAGTCGCAGCGTAAAAGTGACCGCCCGACTGACTCATCGAGACCAAAATTTATTTTTCGTCGATACGCGCGCGGGCCGAGAGGCGGTAAGGGAGGAGGGGAGGGGAAGGGGAGGGGAAGGGGAGGGGAGGGGCGCTTTGGTTTGGTGTCGCTCCTTGCTGCTTCCCATGGTCCGCGACTCCGCGGCCGGTCGCTGACCCCTCCACCATGCCTCCACCACGCCGAGCCTCCACGCCGTGCCTGGCCGTGCCTCCACGGCGCCAACGCCTTCAGGCACTGCCTTTAGGCCCCACCGCCAGGCCCTCGGCCAGGCCGCCAAGCCTCCGAGCCGCCGAGCGCAGCCGCGACCCGCGCGGTCCGCGTGCCGCGTGCCGACCTTCGGTGCCTTCGGTGCCTTCGGTGCCTTCGGTGCCTTCGGTGGCGGCGCAATGGACCGCCGGGGAAGGCGGCAACCAGATAGGCAGCCCCTCCCCCTCCCCGAAAAACAAACAAGGACAAAAATGGCCGCCTTGGCTTGATCCGCAGGCAAGAATGGGCTCCGGCTCCACGTCGTGGAGGACCCGGTTGCGCACACGCGTGCCCGGCGGCGCCCGGCGGTGCCCGGTGTACCCGGTAGCGACCGGCCGCGGCCTTGCCGCCTCGCAGGCCCTTATCCCGACCTTGTGAAATGGGCGCGAAAACAGGCAAGGTGCGACAAGGACAAAGACATACCAAAATAAAGAGGAATTCGGCTGTGGATCACCGCTGCCGCCCCAGACAGGCCAGACGGATTCCGAGCGGGAGGCCTCTCTCTGTCTCTCTCGCACTGCGGGGCCGTTCCCGCCGTTCCTCGGAGGTGCGACAGAGACGGAGGGCTCGGAAGCAGCCTGCTGAGTCGTGTGTCGATAAGCTGCGCCCTGCTGCGCCTGGCTGCGCCCTGACACCCTGACAGGTCTGTTGTCAGGGAAGTACTCGAAGAGGGAAGGCCTTGGAAGGGCGGGCCACAGTGGGCCAGAAGACCGGTGGAGGCGGCCAAAACTCTAGACGCGTTTTGAGCTCCAGAGTCGCTAAACAGGACTCGAACCGAACGTGTGACCCCACCAATGGATTCCTCGTTCGGAGAGCAATCCATTGGTGGGGTCACACGGTCGGTTCGAGTCCCATTTAGCGACTCTGTAGCTCAAAACGCGTCTGGGGTTTTGGCCGCCTCCACCGGTCTTCTGGCCCACTGTGCGGGCCTCGGCCTCGAGCCGACAGCAGACTCATTCCGACAGTCGTTTTCGTCGCTCTGTCTCTCTGGAAAAGCGAGTACGGTAAACAGCAGGCCCGCCCGCGTTACGCACTGCGAGCGAATTCAATTTAGCAGGCGATCAAAAAGCAGAAATACTTGGGGGGAAAAATAAACTGTCCTCTGCTCCTTATCGGCTGTGGCAGTGGCGTGTCCACTCCCCCTCTCCGCAGCTCACTAGGCTCCGAGCGCCACGCGTGCCAACCCAACAATGTTCACGATTTATCTCCCTCCAACACGAGAAGTGTGAGTCTCCGCCGAGCTATTTTTAGCCAACGTCTGGCCGAGAGGACTTCCGATAATATCTTGGGGGCAATGCGGCTTCGGAAAAACTTGGGGCTGGTGGAGCAGAGCACAATCCTGGAGGGCGGCTCAACCCACCCCCGTGCTGGTGGACTCAGAGGGAAGCACCAAAGACAATGCGATGTAACAAAAATTAAACTTTGGATTCATTTTAAAACTAGATAAATAAACAGTGTAAAATAGATTTACGGACACAACTTGGCCTTTTCAACAAGGTTGTATAAAGGGGCCATAATTGGTTTGGCGTGAAGGCAGTTGACATCTTTAGGGAGCATGACAGTTCTCCAGTACTCTAAAAGTTCTTCAACCATTGTTCGGCTCAGGGCTGTTGGAGATTTACGACAAATTCTCATTGCTTCACTCTGAACGAAAGAAGCATGTGGGTAAATGATGATTAATTAGATTCATGTGATGAAGGGACAATTAATTGAGGTCTTACCTTGATGTGGTTGGCCACACGGAGGGGGCGACAATCAAATAATTCTACTACAGACCAAGTACTGCCAAGTGTTAGTGTCTCTTTGAGTTCTTTCACACCATAATAATTCAGTGCCTGAGCCACCTCGGTTAGGTTGGCATGTTGATTATCTGTCGGAAAAAAGGAAAAAGAGGGTCGCATAATCTTTCAAGCCACTGTCAGAAGAAGGTTCAAGCTATCCGGCCATTTTAAAAATATGGATACTGTACCTCCGGACATCTCAATTTTAAAACCATTTTTCGCAATAATATCAGCAGAAATAACCCTGGTTTGCCTTAACTCGTCAAATTTACATGGGAGGGACACCAGGACTTTCCAAGCTGCTTCACCCAAAATTCTAGATCATGAATTAAATCAAAGTTGATGCATTAGACAAATTAGTATAACCATTGAACTAGACATAGATTACTATGGTGTTTAAAAAAAGCCTTACACTGGGTCCAAACGCTGAATGGAGGGAAGGGGTATCATTGGAAGAGCATATGTGCTCAAGAGCCGATGATTAATGACCACTTCTTGCAATCGACTATGGTTCAGGATACTCAACACAGACTTTTCTAAACAAACCCAAGTTCCGCTTGGCTCAAGCTGTCCGAGCAGACAAATACCTGACTTGCTTTCATAAAATTGTTGACCTCTAAAAAATAAAACAGGGTTACTCCTTAAATATGAGAATACCACTTTCATATAGTCTGAAGGATGGTAATGGGAACAGAAGTAAACAATACCTCTCAATTGACAAGGATGCCTTAGAGACTTTGTCTCTGATGTCATCTACACTTATACTGTTTAGTGTTTCTTTCCTTGGGGGCCTTGATGGCTTAGCAATCTTCTGTTTTTCTGGAAGCTTTTTCACCCACTCCAATTTCTTCTGTTTATCTGCAGTCTTCCAAATCTGTACAAAGGATTCAGTAAAAATGAGCAACAATTTTATTAAATCCCCAGCTGAGTGCTTCTAATACCTTTTTTGTAGTAGCTGTCTTTCTTGCAATTTCTTCATAGTGCTCTTTTTCTGTATCAGAAAGGGATTGCCATTTATCTGACAGCATTGTTGCAACATGTGTAAAGGCAATACCAGGATTTTCAAGGATGACTGTAAATTTCAAAATGATTTACATAAAACATTATTCTGGATTTCCAAAAAAAAAAAAAAAAAAAAAAAAAAAAAAGTTCTAAGTGAAAGCAATTTACTTTGAGGACGAGCTTCACGTGCAAATTTGGTGAAAGCAGCTAACTCTCTTCTTCCCATTTGACTGCTAACACTCTGAAGTGAACTATCCATCCCCGGTGAAGTCTTATTGAGATGGTCAGAAGACCTAACAAAACTGAATGGTAGTAATAGTAATTACCATACACAAATAAATAAGATTCCAAAAGTCAAGACTCAGTCTCTTTAAAAATTTGTACAACACACACCTTGGACTTTTTGGTGAGAGGAAAGCCTTAGGACTTTTCTGTGGGCTTTCAAGCTTCAGAGACGTGGTTTTGTTGTGTCTTTCCATAGAAGGGCCATCGAGATGGTCTTCAACAGATGCCGCAGTGGGAGACATATCCAACTGCTTCACTTGGTATGTACCAGTGTCCACTTCCTCCCTATCAGCTGCATTTCTTGGTTGTTTTCCAATGAGAACACCAGAGCCCTGTTTGAATTTTTTTTAAATCATCAATGATGTTTTCAGTTGGTTTATGAAATATTTGGGTTGAGTTTATCTTACCTTCATGGTGTCCCCCTTAGGTAGACTCACATGCCCCATGCTCCACTCTACTGTTCCGACGATGCCAGCTCCTTGTCCATTCACTGCCCTATTGCACTTGTCTGCTGCAGAGGCCTCAGGCGCAAATTCTAAGGCATCAAGACACACACTCATGTCATCAATGTCATTAGTGGAAACATCCTCCCATAAACTGCCCAGTTCATTTGCATTTGGAATTTGCTCAGCCTGAATTCTTTCAGAGTTAATTTTTGATTTCTGTTGTTCAAAATGATTTGAGGCAGAAACAGCACCATCAGCATCATCATTGTTGATGTGGCAATGTTCAGCTTCCATGGGGTCTCTTAAATCTTCGTCGACAAGTTTTTCTTTTTCTCTAGAAGCTTCTGTCACAGAGCAAGCACTGGAGAATGTAAATTCACTGTTATTGCTATGCGTCTTCTGAGGTCTATCATCTATTATGCCTGTCGGCTGACAACTCTGAGAAGTTTTTTCATCAGGCTCCACTCTTTTTGTTTCAGATTCAGCTACCAGAAAGTCATTGTCTGAGTCCATTAACTCTATCAGCGAATCCAATGCTTCATTAGTTTCTGGTAACTGGTGAGTTTTATGTGCAGCTGAAACTGCTAGATCATCCAAAGTATCTTCATCTTCCAGTTTCCTTTTCTTTGTAGGACCACTTTCATCAGAATCCAATAATGGTGGTGAATGGGCAAGATCTTCCCTCTTCTCTCTCACAGGTTCATTTGGACCAATTTCTTTTTCAGGACATGGAACACTGTAGTAGATTTGAAGCTGCTTTTCAATTTCACTCAAAACTACATCCTGAACAGAAAAAATTATTTAAGAGCCTCATTAGATTTATAACAGAAGTAGCATTATTAATACAAACCTCATCTTTAATTAAAACTTTAGTCTTGTTTGGTTCCAAGTTGACATCAACACTGGATGGAATTACACTTATTGAAAACATACAGACTGCAAATTTCCTGGGAGAGAAATTGTCTTTAAATTTAACTGTTAGCTGTTGATGGAGGACCTAGAACATTCATAGGGTAAAATATGAGTTACAAAATTCCCCTGGTAGATAGAAAGCCCAAAAACTTGTAAACTTCAATTACCTTGATAAGTTTTTTGTTTAACACAGGTCTTTCATTTACAAAAATGAAAGAGAAAACAGGAGTTGACTTAGCTAACATAGAAATGTCACAGTTCCTTTTGGGAACAAGCATTTCAACAGAAATCTAAAAAAAAAAAATTCAAATAAAAATTAATTTGTGCCATTAAATTATTTGGAGTCAAACTAAACAACTGATATTGATATACTGTGAGACTTATGGCAAAATAAAGGCATTTACCTCTTCATTGACTTTTAAGGACAGCATTTCCATCTGTTGACTTGTTGAATAGCCCACAAGTTGGGCAAAAGAATTTGATAAATTTGAGCACTGTGTCTTTTGCCATATGAGACATTTATTATGAGAAAGAGTAACACGGACGTTGGGTTTGATGACTGCAAGAGATTTCACAACAGACTCAACTTGTTTTAATTCTTCCTGTGATTTGCGACTAGAACCCATTAGCTGGCGTCGAACTGGCAGGTTTTTGAAGAGATTTGACACTGTCACTGTAGTACCTGGGGAAGAGAACGGAGCAAAATGAAAACCAATATGAAAGGAAAATCAGGGTGAGAAGTAACTGAAATATACCTTGAACATGATGTGATGGTTTAGTCCCACAAATGTTTCCAGACGAATCCAATGTATAAACCGTAGCCATGGGGTCGGAAGCTGTAGCAGTTGTCAGTGTGACTTGTCCAACCCGACACAAGGCATTCAAAGCTTCACCTCGAAATCCATATGTTTGAAGTGTCTCTGCAAATTCGTTACAAATTCACATGAGAGTTGCTTTAGAACTTTTGGGTAACTACATGGGGTAAGGCATTGAAATTCTTTTACCTAAATCAGTGAAATTGGAAATTTTAGAGGTGTAATGTGGAAGTGCCATGCAGGTAGTGTTTTCTTTGCTAATTCCAGATCCATTGTCCTTAACCTCGATGCGGTCCAAGCCAAAATTTATCTGCAAAGAAAAAAGGTCATCTTAAAACTTGAGGATTTTTTTTAAAGGATAGGCGCACAAGCTCAAACGTACCAATTTTACTTCGACGGAGGTAGCCCCTGCATCCAGAGCATTTTCAAAAAGTTCTTTTACAGCGCTTGAGGTGGAGGTTATAATTTGAGAACTTGTGATCAGTTTCACAGTAGCAGCAGGAAGTTGGGCAAGTGACATGTTGGAGAGCGGACAGTTTAGACTAAAATACGAGAGCAATGCAACAGTTAGAGAACGCTGAAACTACTTTTATTGAGCCTTGGTAGGATTAATTAACTCCCGGGGGTGTACAATGTTTACATTCTTTCTCCCGCGCGAGCAGACGACGCACGAACAGAAAAACAGAAGAAGGAGGCAGTAGAGAGTGTTTTGTTTTGTTTGTGTTTTGCCGTTGACCCGCGATTTTGGTGCCAGAACGTTTGGCATTAAATTTCTGAAAAAAGAGGCAATGTCTGTCGAAGAGGATACGGAACTGCGGGACTTGGTTTCAAAAACTCTGGAAAATAATGGCGTTTTGGCCAAAATTCGGGTGAGGCTTGCATTGTAAAAGGCAATTTGGTATGGTTAAGGACTGCCCGTCATCTTCCTGTTTTGACCGGCCTTTTAATTTTAACTGCTGTACTAAAGTTTAAATACCCCTCTGTGGCCTCAATTTATTTTTGTGACGAACTGTAGGTTGTCCTTTTTTCATCTTACATTTTGTTTGTTGACCCTTCCCTGTAGCACAGGGACACAGATTAAATTTTCATGAACTTCACCAAACATAATCAAATTGATGGCCTCTGTGTTTGTGCATTGTTCCTTGTGGATAGCCTCCACCATACGCTTGTGCTTTTTTATGTTTTTTAAAATTGTTATCATATTGTTTTGTTTTTTTGTTGTTCTTTTGTAGGCAGAACTTCGGGCAAGTGTCTTTCTTGCCCTCGAAGAGCAAGAGAACAAAGCGGTAAATACAGAGCTTTTTACGATTTCTTTTGACAGTGTTACTCTTAAATTTACTCACACTTCAGACTTGAACAAAAGAAAGTGTTTATCAATGATATTCATAAATTATTAAAGATGAATGAATTTCCAGGGTCCATTTGAAAACAAAGCACTGAAAGAATATTTGAAGTCTCCACAAGCTGCCCTTGGGCTTTGTATTGTGCGAGAATTTTTGGAATACCTTGAGTTGGATTTTACTCTTTCAGTATACAATACGGAAACAAGCCACGGCAAAGGGTATGAGTATAGTGGCCGAAACAAACTAGTGAAGGACCTTCAAATACAAAATCTAAATGGTAATATTTTCATTGAGGTTTTTTTTTCTTTTTTTTTCTTAAATCTTGGTCTTTCTTGCTGTGTTTCCTTCACTGCAGTTTTGTATTTCCTACAGGGAAGAAAGGACCCCTCTTGAGTCACATTCTACAATTAGCTCAGGAATCTGGTGGTATTTCGACTGATGTTAAAGAGGTATTTAATTGTGTGTTTTATGTGCGGTATTCTTAAAATAGACTGTCAAAATTTAACTTAATTTTTTTTTTTTAGGGGAATACCCACACCAGTACACCTAACTTAAAGCCATTAACTGGTGGAAACTTATTTCATAATCTAAGTCTTGGAAGCGAGGCAAGTGTTGAAAGCCCCAATGTCTCTCTTCTGCCTTTGGATCGGACATTTACTTCAGAGGGTCCAACTGTGAAAGTTATTTCAAACAATGATGGCGCTGGAAATGACAAAATGGTACAGTCCCCTGTACAGCTTCTTTCTTCTGAATCTCAAATTAAACTGGAAGAGAAACAAGATACCAAATCACCTGAGGGTGCAAATAAAGAAGACATCAATATATATTCTACCAAAGTATTGGCTAATAAAGATGCAGTCCTCAAAAATTCCAATAAACCCAATGAATCTGGAATGGGTGAGAGGTCAGTGCCATCTGTTACACCTGTTGTATTTCTATCAGTGTGAATTGGTTTAACAATTGTATGATTTTATCATCAGGAAGCAAAATGTGGAAGGGAAACATTCTCAGAACAAACCATCTAAGAGTGATGGTAAGAATTCTATGGCATCCCTGAATGATTTGCCACCTCTGGATGACCTCCATGAAAGAAGAAATTTCAATAATGCCGCCAGTATAAATTTTGCAAGTTTAGGTGGGTAGTATGAATTGGTACTGGTGGGGTTTGCACTCATCAATACTGTATTTTCTATTAAAACCATTTTTTGTCATGTTTTGTTCTGTTTTTTCTTAGGTATTCATGATGACTATGAAGAAGATTTTCTTTCTACAGGCAGCAGTGCCACAAATGAGAACAGCAAAAGCCACAGCCTAAGTCACAAATCAAGTAATAAACAAAACCCCCCTAAAAAGGAAAAGTCATCTGAGAAAAAGTTGACTAAGGATAGTGCAGAGAAAGAAACTTCTGACAAAGCAGCAACAAACAGTCCAGTTGGTAGCATTAGTGAAGACCTTGATGACAATACAAACTCTGGAATTGATGACTTGTTGAACAGCACAGCTTCAACTGTAAGTTGTTTACCAAGAATACCAATAGTTCCTCATTTCCGTATTTATTTCTGTTTTACCAAAAAGTATTGTGTGTGCAACTCTTATTCCAGGAGAACACTGTTGATGCTACTATATCCCACATCAGAAGTAATTTTGCTGACTATATTGAAGAAGTGTAAAATCTTTTCAACAAATTTCAAGAGGAACAACCATGGTATCTAACAAATCAACTTTACTTTGTGATTGCTCAAAATTTGTAACTTATTTTTACGATTGTGTGTGAACTATGAATTTTTTTCACTGGTAGTCATACCACTACTGAAATCATTAATTTATTGCCTTATATATGTGTATATATCTGACTGACTTTGTAACCTAGTATATTAGAGTTTGGTGTTAATATAAGTGAGAGTCACAATTTTTGTTGTTAAGTTTATCTGAACATAAATGCTCACAAATGTACACGGGCACCCAAACTAGAATAATTTTCTGCATGGAAAACTACTTTTGTAGATAACAAGGACATAAAAGACATACAATACAGGAAGCTTAGTGGTTTTGAGACAATATAATTGATCATTGTGAGTTATTGATCAACAGAAAATTTTGAGGGAGTACATCAGAAAGACTTTGTAGAGAGGAATGTCATCTGTCGATATCAGTCAATCAGAAAATAGAACTTAACAATAGATGAACATATGAAATGCTGACTGTAAGATCCACGTACTAAAACATTCTAATAAAGTGATGAGACTGATTAACATTAATCTTATTGACGCAATCTGTTGAGATATGCAGTTGATACAACACCATGCGCATCCATGTATCGGTCCATACACATTGCTACACATTTCTGTAAGGAAGAAAGAAACAGGTGTGAGATGGGAACAGTTGAAATACATGAACCGTAATGATAAATTAAGGCAAGTACCTGTTCTGAGTTGTCTAGGGAAGATCCTGGCTTTGAAATGCATTTAGTGAAACACTTCTCTGTCATTTTCTGAAAACAAAGGAGAGAGAGAATGTGAGATAGACACCCTGGGTGGTGATGCAGCAATGAAATTGAGTATCCTACTTAAGAAAAAATGAACGAAAAGAATATTCATGAGGTGATGATTATCTTCAAAGCTTATCATAGTACAATTCACATGCATCAAAATCCGTTCTTTATTTCTAATTTCTAAACGTGATACGGGTTGAAATTTCGGTCAGAGGAATACAAATTTCATAATTGAAGTAAAGAAATACATCAGATTTAATAGGTTATAGTACCTGGATTACTAGCTGAGCATTGGCTATTGCGAGCTGCTGCCTAATTTGATCCATTAATTCTTCACTCTTGAGCCCCGATAATTGACTGGACGAGAGAGAATCCATTGTCAAGTTTCTGGAGGCGAAAGGTTTCCAAAATTTGTGACTTTAGAAAAACACGCCGCTACGATGCTCGGTCGGCGACCGCGAGAGAACAGACGACGAAGCGGGGTAGGGGGGCCACTGTCTTACGAAACTTTCAGAAAATTACTCAAGAGGCGAAAAAAAGACAAAACTTGATAAATAGATAAAAGTATAATACACTGAACAGCTTATGACAAACGCAAGCTCTGCCCAATCCCTTGGGTTAAGTTAAACTCGTTTTAATGGAAAGATACCGTTTTGCAATGTTGGTATGACACGTGGCCACGGTGGCGCGATTTCTTTGAAAGATTGAACCGCAGCGGACATCACCTCTCTAGGACCACGGCCGCATCCCATCGGGGCTGTGCGGTTTCATACGGAGAGAGAGAGAGAGAGAGAGAGAGAGAGAGAGAGAGAGAGAGAGAGAGAGAGAGAGAGAGAGAGAGAGAGAGAGAGAGAGAGAGAGAGAGAGAGAGAGAGAGAGAGAGGGAGAGAGAGAGAGAGAGAGAGAGAGAGAGAGAGAGAGAGAGAGAGAGAGAGAGAGAGAGAGAGAGAGAGAGAGAGAGAGAGAGAGAGAGAGAGAGAGAGGAGGAGGAAAAAAGGCGTGGGAGAGAGGCGAACGGTACACATCGATTTAAACGCACACTTGACTTGTCTTCATGCATAGCAGTCGTGCAAGTCCACCATGGAGTAGGACTTTAGTTCTTTTCCATGAGTCCACTTCTGCAGACTTTGATGGGGAACGACGACCAGAAAAGACATTGACCTCATTGGCGACTCCGTTTCGCCGATGCACCAACTACTGCAGACTGATTCCGAGAGTAATTTTCGTCTTTCTTCTCTTGCACGCATGGGGCGTCCCGTTTGGGTGCGAGAGAGACAGAGCGCCGAAAACGACTCTCGGAATCAGTCTGCAAGCAGCCACTGGGTCACGGCCACTCCAGAATGGCGAGGCAAAGAGAGAGACAAAGAGTCACGCGCGGCAGGGGCGGCAGGGGAATTACCGCGACCTTGCTTAAATATGGATGGCAATGGCAAACATATGGCCGGCCAGGGGCAGCCAGCAGACCAGTTCCGAACGGCGCTTCGTGCCTCTGTCTCTCTCGCGCCTCTGGAGCACGCCCCGTGAGTGCGAGAGGGACAGCGCGACAAACCGCCGTGTTCGGAATCAGCCTGGGGCTGCGTCATGGCTGCGCCCACACTGCCACGCCCATCCCCTCGCTGCCTACATTCCGGGGGCGGCTGCTCGCCCCAGCACTGTGCGCGGCACTGCGACCCAGAGACCGGAGCTCGCCGACTCGAAGCACCCCGTCGGCATGGCGGCCTACCCGTCCGACTACCCCGTCCTGATCCGGGTACAGCCGGCCGACGAGAAGCCCCAGCTGGTGGCGACGGCGGACGAGGCGGCCGACTTGGCCGCGCCCCGCCAGGACGACGTCGTGTACTACGCGCTGCGGCCCGTCTGGTTCGCCATGCAGGCCGTCGGCTTCTACCCGATGCACCGGCAGTGCCGAGGTCCGCGCACAGCACAGTGGGCCAGAAGACCGATGGAGGCGGCCCAAAATTCGAGACGCGTTTTGAGCTCCAGAGTCGCTAAATGGGACTCGAACCAAACGTGTGACCCCACCAATGGATTCCTCGTTCGGAGAGCAATCCATTGGTGGGGTCACACGTTCGCTTCGAGGCCCATTCAGAGACTCTGGAGCTCAAAACGCGTCCGGGATTTTGACCGCCTCCACCGGTCTTCTGGCCCACTGCGGGGCGTGCCCGAGAGGCGTGAGAGAGAGCCGGAACGACGGAATTGTCACTCTCACAGTCTGGGAGACATCGGGCGACTGAAATGCGCAGCCCTTTTCGTCGGATTTTTAGGCGGCAAGCCGAAGGGGACGTCGACGTCGCTGTGGCTGGCGCTCAGCGCGCTGCAGTACGTCGCCGTCGTCGCCGTCATGGTGATGTCCTTCGCCGCGGCGCAGCACCGCGCGCGCGACGAGGAGCAGGACTTCGACGGCACCATCATCAAGTACCTCGTGTACATCCAGTGCGGCGTGCCCGTGGTGCTGCTGCCCCTGTACGCGCTGCAGAGGGTGCGGCTGACCGAGTACCTCCACGATTGGAACAAGTTTCAGGTGCGGGCTCGAGTGTTGCACTGTCGGACTAGTCATCAGAGAAGAGGCACAAGAAAACAGTAGGCGGATTCAGAGAGTCGATCTGTGTCTCTCGCAACTATACGGGACGCCCCCATGAGTGCGAGAGAGAACAGAGCGACGGAAACGACTCTCGGAATCAGTCTGCTGACGGCCCGCGGCCCGCAGCACAGTGGGCCAGAAGACCGGTGGAGGCGGCCAAAACTCTAGACGCGTTTTGAGCTCCAGAGTCGCTAAACAGGACTCGAACCGAACGTGTGGCCCCACCAATGGGTTCCTCGTTCGGAGAGCAATCGATTGGAGGGTTCACTGTTAAAAATTATGTTGTAATTTAACAGTAAATATGTTGCTAATTTTTTTAATGATCAAAGTTGTTTTCAAATGACTTTTGTTGTTTACTAACGAGTAGTAGTAGAGTCCCGGTTACCCCGCAGTAACCACTTCTTAGATTGTCCGGGTTGTTTGTACGCAGCAAAATATTGTTTTGAAACAGCATAAGTCATAAAAATAATTAGCAACGAATTCGTCGTTTTAAAACAAGCAAACTTGTTCACAAACAGCAGCGTTGTCGAGGTTGGTAATTGTTTTGTTGTTTTAAAACAACAATTTTTAACAGTGTTCACACGTTCGGTTCGAGTCCCATTTAGCGACTATGGAGCTCAAAACGCGTCTAGAGTTTTGGCCGCCTCCACCGGTCTTCTGGCCCACTGTGCGCAGGCCGAGTTCGCCCGCCGGTCGGGGCGAGCGCTGTCCACGCTGCGGCCCTTCTCGTCCAGGGACTCGCTGGAGATGCTGGCCGTGGTGGTGCTGTGGGAGGCGGTGGTGGCGAGCTGCCAGCTGCCGCTGCACCCCCCGGTCGTCGTGCTGGCCCTGGTGCTGTCCAACGTGCTGGCCGCCCTGCTGGCCAGCCTGTGGTACCTCCACGGGCGGCTGCTGCGCGCCGCGGCGCACGCCTCGGCCGCCCACCTGGCCAGGGTGCTGTCGCGGTCCGCGCCGAGGCCCGGCTCGGTGGCGGCGCAGGTGGACGCGTGCCGGCTGCAGACGCTGCGCCTCATGTCGCTGTCCACGGCGCTGGGCTCCGCGATGACGCTGTGCCTCGGCTTCCTGCTGCTGGCGCACTTCGTGCTGCTTACGCTCACGCTGTACGCGCTCTTCGGCCAGCTGTCGCACTCCACGCGCAGCGCCGCGCGCCTGCCCAGCCTCGTGGCCGGCGTCGTCTTCAGCGGCGCCGTGCTCTACGTCGTCTGCGACTCGGGCCACCGCGTCGGCAGGGCGGTGAGCACCGCACAGTGGATTTGCCAGAAGGCCGGTGGAGGCGGCCAAAATTTCAGACCCGTTTTGAGCTTCAGAGTCGCTAAATGGGACTCGAACCGAACGCGTGACCCCACCAAGGGATTGCTCTCCGAATGAGTAATCCATTGGTGGGGTCACACGTTTGGTTCGAGTGTCATTTATCCACTGTGGAGCTCAAAACGCGTCTCGAATTTTGTCTGCCTCCACCGGTCATCTGGCCTACTGTGCACCGGGACAGACTCATTCCAAGAGTCGTTGTCGTCGCTATGTCTGCCGCACCCATACGGGACGCCCACGAGTGCGAGAGAGACAGAACGACGAAAACGAATTTGTTTCCGCAGCTTAAGACGGGCGCCATGCAGGAGATGATGGCTTTCCGTAAACGTACGCCACTGGTGGGCGAGGACCTCCACAACATGGCAAGTGGATTCCGACCCTAAATTCGATGACACTTTTCAATGAAGCCGGTAATAATTTATTGATTTATTTATCGAATGTTGGTTTCAGATCGAGGCGTTCGTGGCGACGGTGCAGGAGGTGCCGAGCGACGTCTCGCTGTCGGGCATCACCGTCGTCAACAGGCAGCTCTTCACGGCGGTAACCCCAAAACTAACGACTCACTTTGACCAGAAAAAGAGAGAGAGACAGGCAAATCAGAGCGACTCGCGACGAGCTCGCAAAAAAAAAAAACGAGAGAGAATGAATCATTTCCCTTCACCCAGAAGCCCTCTGGGTCGAGTCCCCGTGCTTGATGAGAAGGCGCCGTGACGACCAAACACCTCAAATTGTTTTTCTGTCTCATTTTCTTGTTTGCCGTTGGGCGTGGCGTTCGGCGCGGCGTTCCAGGTGCTGTCCACCATGGTGACGTACCTCGTGGTGGTGGTGCAGTTTCGCGTCAGCCTGGAGGCCGAAGACGGCGATGGGCGCGCTGGCGGCGCTGGCGGCGTCGCGGGCGCGGCCACGACGGCGTCCTCCTTCACGTCCACCGGCGCCGCGTCCGACCCCTACTCGTCGGCGGCCTCCGTCGTGGCCAACATGACGACGGTCTCGGCGACCTCCGTGGTGGTCGCCGTCGAGACGTTTGTGACAAAGGCGCCTTGAAATACATTTTTCTTTTTCCAAAAAGCTCTGCCGGACTAGGGGATTATTTTTTGTCAAGTTGCATGTTCCTCAAGCCAGAAATACACACACACACACACACACACACACACACACAGAGAGAGAGAGAGACGCACAGACACACCTAATGCCCCAGACGCGGAGGCACCGGGCCTTATTTGGGACGGTTCAGGACGGTTCGTCAGCGGAGCGCGACCCGGCCTGGAGGAAAGTGTCCGACGTCGCGATGCTTGTCGCTGTGTGTCCCAGCTGGCCTAGTCTCCGACACACGTCATGGGCGCTTCCGAGGTATTACTGGCCTGCACACCGATTCCGAGAGTCGTTCTCGTCGCTCTGTCTCTCTCGCACTCATACGGGACGCCCCATGAGTGCGAGAGAGACAGAGCGACGGGAGCGACTCTCGGAATCGGTGCGCGGGATCCGTCACGCTCCAACCATGGCCAGGCTGGAGTCCAGGACGTCCAGGACGCACAGCCCGCACGCCACCAAGCAAGACCCTCGACCCAATCAGCTTACCCACTTTGGCTGCGCCATGGCTGCGCTTTGCCTACGTCGCGCTAACCACGGTGTAACCAAGCGAGACGTCATCGCCGACTCGGGGCCGATGTAGGCTAGGGACGAGCTGGCGCGAGCTGGCGACTGGCTAGGGATAGGGATTTCTCTCTCGCTTGTCGGGTCGGACCTCGGGAATGACTCTGTGGATCAGGCAGTGTTCGCAGTGTTGGTCCAACTCATCCACCCGTTATCATTCCAAGTTGCAATTTGGCGGCCTCGACCGCCAAGCCAACGCCATTTCCAAAACTCGCGGGTGGCGGCGAGCCGCGCAGTCCGCCGTCGCCGCGCTCCCCAGTGACGTCAACGTCAAGACGAAGATCATCGAGGCCCATGATTGGCTGACGCGCGCCGCCGCGGCCACTCCGGTTGGTTCCGACCCGTTGCGCCCCGGGACCGCCGGCCCCGCCCCCGTCGGCGTGGAGCTCGCCCGGCGTCGCCCAGCGCCCGTGGGACGACAGTCGCCGGCTTGAGGTGGTCGCGGCGCGCACACCTGCACCCTGCCCACCCTGCTCCCGGGACAGGCCCTGGAGACCGTGATGTGACCCCTGGCCGTCCAAAGTGCCAACGTTCAGCGCCGCCCCCGTCGCCACCGGCCGCCCCGTCGCCAGGGCAGGAGCTATGACGGCTCGAGGCGAGGCCGCCGTCCAGCTCTCCAGGCTCCTGCTGCTGCACCTGCTGGTCCTCGCCCTCCTCCACGTGCTGCAGCCTGCAGCCGCCCGCCATGGCAGCGCCGCATCCGCCGTCGCCTCTGAGGTACGGCAAGGCCAAGGCCAGTCCGCAACTTGGACAAGCGCACAGTGGGCCAAAGACAAAACTCGAGACGCGTTTTGAGCTCTGGAGTCACTTGACGCAACACGAATCGAGCGTGTGACCCCACCAATGGATTCCTCGTTCGGAGAGCAATCCACTGGTGGGGTCACACGTTCGGTTCGAGGCCCGTTTAGCGACTCTGCAACTCAAAAAGCGTTGAGAACCGCATCCACCGATAAGTGAAGTCTCCTGGCCCACTGTGAAGCGCCTGTGAGGTAGGCAATGCGAGACACGCGAGGAGGAGAGTTGCCTACCGCGCAGGCGCTCCAAGCACCTCGCGCTTGAGCAGAGGTAACGCAAGTCTCGCGATTTTCGTTGTCGGCAGAAGCGCGCCGCCCCCGCCGCTATGGACGTCCCGAGAGGACATTCCGTTCACGCGAGAGACCTGTCCGACCCGAAGGACACGTCCGTCAGTCAAGGTAAGCCGGCTGGAGGAAAACAGCGATTTACAAGAGTCGTCCCGTCGCTCTGTCTCTCTCGCACTTACGGGGTTCTCCGTGAGGGTGCGAGAGAGACAGAGCGCTCGCTGGGCTGACGCTGATGCGACGCGGGCCTTCCCCTTGTTGCAGACGACGGTCCGCGACGCCGGCAGCAGTGGGACTTCGTGGGCCCCTCGCTGCTCCTGGGCGGCACCCTGGCCGCGCTCATGCTGGCCGCCATCGGCCACCTCGCCAGCAAGGCGCTGCTGGCCTCCATGCTGTCCGCCGCGCTGTCCGCAGTGCAGCTGGCGCGCCCGCCGCCCCCCAACCGCCCCGGCTAGCCCGCCCTGGCTAGCCCGCCCGCCCGTCTGTCTGTCTGCCTCGGAACCACACCTTGCAACTCTGTTCGGTCTACCCTGTGATATTGACGCGTGGTTAGGTTTTGAAATTTAGTTGAAATTTTCAGGGACGTGAGGTGACTTGAGTAGGCACGACAAGTGGAGGTTGAAGAATTCATTATAATTATTATTAAAATATTTTACAATCAAGTGTGCTGGTCGAAAGTTTAACGCCGTCCGTTCTTCTTGGGTTTGAAAGATGACCGTTTCACTCCCGCAGGCTTGCCCTTTCCCTTCTTGCTTCCCTTCCCAGGTCCCTTTCTCCCAAAACCTTTCATGGACCGGTCTCTCTTTGCTTCCCAGTCCAATTGCTTGAAAGCTAGAAAAGAGAAAAATTGGTAAGAAAGAGCTTACTTATTAGACTTAGAATTAACTTATTTCATGTCAATTCAAAAATAAAATGTGGAGTGCACTGTTTGTAATATACTTACATGCTTTGTCCTTATTTGATACTGCTGAAGAGGTGCCATCTCTGGCATTACCTGCTGCTTCTATCAATTCTGAAAACTCCTCAGCTGATGCAAATACATCATCATACTTCATCTTTTTACGGTTCTTACCCTAGAAAAAGAATTAAAAAACAATTAAACCATAGTCAAAGTGTTCAATTTTACATAAAAGCAAACAAAACGAGACTCACAGCCTTTGGACCTTCATCTTCCGAATCATCTCCAAAGTCAATGTCTTCACCATCATCATCATAATCGTCAAAGTCACTGGGCATTTCTTCATCATCATAATCATCAAAGTCCTTTTGCTTTTTGTCCTTGCGCTTGGTTTTACCATTCAGAATAACATCATCTCCTCCATCGTCAACAAAGTCATCCTCGTCTTCATCACCAAAGTCATCATTGTCTTCATCACCAAAGTCCCCACCTTCATCATCACCCTCCTCTTCTTCTTCATCATCACTGCCGCTAATATCATCACCATCATCATCTGAAAGAAAATCATAATTATTTGCTAATGCAACAAAATAATCTTACACAAATGAAACATATGTTACAATGCTCACCCTCTGCCGACTTCTTTTTCGTCTTCTTTGATGTCATATTCTTAGTGTATTCATCAGCAAAGTCCAGATCTTCATCAATGTCAGAATAATTCAAATCAAGATCTTCATCCATGTCCTTCTTAAAGCCTCTCTTCTGCATCATTTTATCAAGAATGCCATCAAACTCCTCATCACCAATGCTTTCTGCATCACTGTCCTTATCATCTTGATCTGGTGCAGCAGCTCTTCTGTTCTGCAAGTAACTGTAAGCAAATTGTTATTTAACTCCATTCTATCAGTCATGTAAATGCATGATGTAACTACAATATTTCTTACGTGAAAAGGTATTTTTCATCCACAGGCACATTATCTTCTTTCTGTTTGAGATAGGATTCAGATCTCACAGGCAAACTTCTCACTCCAGTAGAGGCATACTTTTTACGTTTAGCAAACAGAGATGGAACATTTTCTGGCAGCTTTTTGGGATTTTTGAATGAGAAGCGTTCCAAAAAGCGGACTAGAGTGAAATCTTTGAGGGGATCCCCATCATAACTGTTTGCTTCCTCATTTATTAAATGAGAAGCAAATAGGGCAACAGTCGGGTGAAAGTGGCGAGACAAAAAGCTCAGTTCTGAGTAACAACTCAGGTCTGCATTAGCATACAAAGGGTTTCTGTGCATTGGGTCATACCCATCTGATTTAGATTTGTTTGAGCTGTTAGTTTTATAAACCCATGCAGCTGACGCAGCATCATCTTTAACAGTCTGGTCCGATTTGGAAGCTTTCTTGACTTTTTTTTGCTTTGCGGCTTCATTCTGCAGCAAAATAGAAACTGTCTCACATCACGAGAAAATACCCCGACAAAGATAAGATAAACTACCTGTGATAAGATAGATAATTGTACCATCTTAAAATTGAACTTACTTCATCAAGAGGAACGTCATCATAGTGTTCATCTTCGGAGTCATCTTCTAATAAAGCAGCAGACATAGCCTCTGAAGGCTTTACTTCACACTCTTCCTTTACCATGTTTGGTTGAAAACTTGACGCTTTGAGAGTATCTTTGAGACACAGCTGTGATATCATGTATAAGGTGGCACAAGCCATTGGCACAGGCAGGTAACAGCAAACCTAAAATTTGAAGAAAGTTTAAAAAAAATTGTACCTGGGAAATTTATATAGAAATGGTAACCCAATAAACACTTACTTGCAATAATCTTTTGATAAATGCCTTGACCCTGGGAACACTTTCATCCTTTTTCAAGGCTTGGAATACTAAATTTAAAAACATAGGGGCATGAGATGCATTACCAAGAGCAGGGTCTAGTAATTTACGATATAAAACTGAGTAAAACCTGTGATGAAGATATTAGGTAAGAAGGAACATTAGTGAAAACTTGTACACAATGCAAGTAACATATCTGAAACATAAAGCATGAACCACATACCTGTCTGAAACATTATTTTTGTAATCCGAAACTTGAAACAACAGAGTCAAACCCTGCAGAGAAACATGGAAGGGAGCAATGTGAACTATCTTATAAAGTGTATCTAGTTGTTCTGAAATACTATCCATAGCCTCTTTAGCGTAAGGGTAGGCTCTGTTGACACCAGAAAGAAGAACACCTAACATTTTGGAGTCAACATCTCCCTGTAAAGAGTAATTAATAATAAATATGCTGGTCATTGCACATCAAATAATTACAAAATTCTAAAGTGATACCTACAAGTTTGACACAAGCTTTGAAAAAGGAAAGATATAATTTAATAATGTTTGCTGCTATTTGTGCATCGGCTTTAGTAAAGAGGATCTGACTTAAAAAGCAAATTCCATAATAGCGAGCCTTGTGTCCAACATTTGGCCTAAAAACATTAAGAAACACAAAATAAGTGGCACATTTCCCACTGAAAGGGTCTGGTAACTGAAGAAAAAGACACTGGTTTTTAAGTGTTGAGATTAAAATTACCTGAAAAGCAGCTTCTCAACTTCATTGATTATAACACCCTTCATGTTAGGATGTTTACTCAAAACATGTGTGAGGCATAGCATACTTCTGGATGCTACTTTTTTAAGAGGGTCACCCATTTTATTCACTAAAATTGATAATAGAGTCTGGAAATGAAGGAATATGAAGACTTGTCTTCTTTTTCTTAAAAATGGAAACATTGGGAATAACACATCTACTTACTGCTTCCTGCTCCGGATGGGACCCCAAAAGTGTGCCCAAAGCTTTGATGGCCTTCTCTTTGTTTGCTTCTACTGAGTCTGTGGATATCAGTCTAACAGCATCAAGAAAGACTTTGTATGTATCTTTCAACTGGTCTTCAAAATACCACAATACTAGGCGCCGGCGCCGGCCAGCAGGGTTCCCAGAGCTTAATTTATCGAGTAACATAAGAGGCCTCTGAGAAAACTTTTTCAGTTTCTTATCAGGTGGTAACAAATCAGAAACAAACAGTTCAACCAATGTGTCTGGAAATAAGAAAGCATGAAATAAATAGGAGTTTACAAGTAAATTAAATATTACTAAATTAAAATAGGAAGGTAGACTTTTTTTTACCTATACAATTTGCACATTCTTTCTTTCCTAGTTTTATAAGCCCTATTAGAGATTGTAATGCACTGATGTTGTACAAGGGTTTTTCCTGTATCATGATGGTGAGTGCTGCCATTTTGTCTTTTCCAGTTCCCTGGGCCATAACCGAACGCATCCAGTTCTGTTCTGAGCTCTTGCTAGCCTCTAAAGAAGAGAAATTAAAAAATGTTGAGCGTTGAAATTTTGTTAGTCAAGTCAAATAACTCTAAATACACATACTGATGGAATATCCATTTGAATCAGAGATCAAATAATTTTTTGCTTCTTCTTTCAGTTGTTCTAATTTGTCAGTAGGGCACGAAGGAAACTCCTCTGGGTCTGCCGGAAGCTAAAATTTGAAATATTTCTTTGTCAAAACTTCCATGATGATTTATTGACTGAATTCACAAAGCGTAGACAGTTACATACCGATGTGTACCACTTTTCAACATCTTGTGGGGGAGGCTCAAAATCCATATCGAAGTTCATTGGAGGTTTATTATTTTTACCCTTCGTCTTCTTCATGGTGGAGTATTGTTTTCTTTAAAACAACGATTATCAAAGAGTTATCTGAAAAGAACAGAAAAAAAGATGAAAATTTCATTGCACATCGTTGGAGATTGATGTCATAAGTCAGCATTCATACTCAGAACCAAATAATACACACGTTACATGTGATATACAACAGAAAACATAACCCTTGAACAACGTGTTAATCCATCACACAGCTAAGAATGTTAGCCTCAATGCCTAATGCCATTGCAAGGAGTATAATACAAACCATAAAAAACAGGCAGAGCTGATGCATCCAGTGACAGCCAGTCAAAATTTCTCAGGATATGCCTTAAAAACAGAAAATATCACGTTTTGTAGATTTTGTGAACTTGACTCGTTTGAGCTGAGTCGAAGTAACTTTCGAGACTCGATAGCGGGTCTCGAGAGCATCGAGTCCAGTTCGACTGTTGTTTTCACACGCACTTGTTTTTCTTGTTTAACTTTACCACAAGTACCTTTTTTGTCATTGTTATTACTTGCTTCCAATCATTCATTGGTGCAAGTGACACGAAATTAGGTTCCTTGGCTACGCAGAGGATTGTACCCCCTGCCTCTATTTGACCTCACTAGGGAGTGACAGGTGAGGTTATGCTGCAAGTACCTTCCTTTTGTTGTCATTCTTCGCCCTCGTCATCAGTGATTCATAATTTAACAATTTGCTCTTAAACTATCACGTTTGTTAATTATTTAATTTACTTTTTCCTGATAGTGAAGCTTGTCTTGTTCTATCGAGAAACAAAAGTAAACTATGGTTGTTGGCTTTAACATTAAATGGCAACATGTTATAAAATTTCAGTGTGAGGTATTCTAGCATTTCAAGGTATGTTTCTGTTTGTTTTGTTGCAGAATCCTTTACCAAGATGCCTCTCGAATGGTTGTTTGGCCGTCGCATGACGCCAGAGGAAATGCTGCGTCAGAACCAGCGGGCCCTGAACAGAGCGATGAGAGATCTAGATAGAGAGAAAGCAAAAATGGAGCAGCAGGAGAAGAAAATAATTATGGATATCAAAAAGATGGCAAAGGAAGGCCAGATGGTGAGTGCCATTCAGCGTGTCAGATATAAACCCCACCCTTTCCTATCTTCGATGACCACTATTCCCACACTGTGTAACTTTAAATTTGATCACAGGATTCTGTGAAGATTATGGCCAAAGACTTAGTTCGCACTCGCAAATATGTGAAAAAATTCATGCTAATGAAAGCCAATATCCAAGGAGTATCCTTAAAAATCCAGACTCTTCGTTCCCAAAACTCCATGGCCGAGGCCATGAAGGGTGTTACAAAGGCTATGCAAAATATGAACCGGTAAGGAATTGGTCGCTTTTTCATCTTGCTTACTTGTGCACTGCTAACAGGAGCTTTAAATTTATGTTGCATTCTTCTCTTCAGGCAAATGAACCTGCCACAAATCCAAAGGATCCTTCAGGAGTTTGAAAAGCAGTCAGAGATTATGGATATGAAAGAGGAAATAATGAATGAAGCCATGGATGATGCTATGGAAGATGATGGCGATGAAGAAGAAACGTGAGTTTTTCATTTTCTGGAATACTGACGTTTTAAATTGTTAGAGCTTTCTTTAATACCGTTAATTTTTTGTCTGTTCAGCGATGCCGTTGTATCTCAGGTGCTGGATGAGCTTGGCCTGCAGCTAACAGACCAGTTATCAGGACTCCCTGAAGCCTCTGGATCACTGGCAGCTTCTTCATCCAAAACTCCTGCTGCTGCTGCGGCAGCTGCTGGTGGCGGTGGTGGTGGGGCTTCGTCACCAACTGTGTCTGATGCTGATGCCGACCTTCAGGCTAGGCTTGATAATCTACGTAGGGAATAATAAATAATAAATGCTTCTGTGCTGATGGTGGCACAAATACCAATTTACTATTTAAGATAAGAAAGAACACGTGGATGAGACACCCAGGGAAATACTTTTTTGAAGACCAAGCACTACAAGGTTTAATCTAACTTGGCCTGTCCAGTAAATTAAAATTTGGAAGAATAGGTGATTTTCTTTTTGTGTTTTTGGGGAATTTTTTGTTGAATGGGCTTTGTTATCTGCTTACACTATGCCAAGTGTCTCATGTTATACTTTTTAATGTCGCTCTTGTTTAATTTCACTAAGGCAGTTACTTTTGTATCTTTCACAATGTGACTAATTTAATCTTAATGACTTATATCGTCCATATGATGTCATACTTTGTGTGTAAAGTGTGCTCCCTGTTTATAAACAACCAATTGGTATGTGTCTTGATTGATGACTGAGTAAGGAAACAAGGTAGAAATTTCTAGCTTCAGTATTTTAACTAAAGTTTTTGAACTGTTTTACGTTCAAGGATCTGGACAAATATAACACATTTAAAACAATGTTACTGTTTTTTTAAAAGTCAGAAGTCATTCACTTGTTGTGAAATTAAGGAAGTACCTTTCAATCTCATGAGTTTGCAGCTGTGCTACCATCTTTTATGACACAAAAGTGTTGTATGATGCTTTCTTTCTACCTGTTAGCTTGGTACTTCCAAAGTTGCTGTGATAAGTTTGCTTTTTTTTCCATATTATTTCTGTTGTTGCAATTTACTGTGCAGCATCCAATTTAAAGAGACAAACAAAGATCATATGCTTAGAACATTTAGTATTTTTATGCAAATCATTTTTTTTTGTTTTATATAAATAAAATTTGAAACCTATTAAAGAGACTGTCATTTCCTTCTACCTCACTCCTTGATGCAACATAGTACTTCAAGTCATAAGAACACGAGGGCATTGGCACAACCGGCCTCCTCAAGATGGACTGAGGCTTTAGGCTTTGGCCAGGGAAGTCTGCAGTCCGCAGTCAGCATGGCAGTGGGAGAGAAAGAGAGAGTGGGGGTGACCCCTGACCTCCTGACCCTGCTGATAAGGCGACACTCTCATTTCCACTGCCGTCATCAGCGGCCACTACATGCCCATGCGTAGGGTCAGTGTGAAAAAGGGAAACAAAGAACAATTTCTTGTTTGAAAAAAAGGGACGCTCTCAGCCGGGTATTCGAACCCTCGACTACACCTAGCCGCCATCCGTTATCCGAGTGCGAAGTTCATGAGTCATTGGCGTTAGGGTGGTACTACACTTAATTTTTGCAGAATGTCTCGAGGCCTGATGATACCTAGACCGCTTTCAACCTGAAGGGATTCCATTGAGGAGTCTACGAGGCAAGAGCTATCCCGCTGGAAGTGGCCTAACTTGACTCCAACGTGCACTTTCTCACCGAGTTCAATCTCTTGAACCTTCCAGCGAGGTAGAGCCACCCAATCCCACGCAATCGCCTCGCACACCGTGGCGGTGCGACATGCATTTCCGTCACGAGGGACGCCGACGTCCGCATCCCTTGCGAAAACCACCATTGATTCGCGGCCTTTCCGTGTTACCCGGATGTACTGCTGGGATGCACACTGTACTACTCCTACTCCTACCCGCGCGGCGTGCGGGCACCAGGGCGCTCGCTAGGGCTGTCCAAGAGCAGACCGCGTGCCCGCGACCCTGGCACAGCACTAGGCTTGTTGTGCCGTGGGTCAGGCCGAGGCGTGGCGGCGACCGGCGGCGACCGTCGGGGACCGTCGTCGCGTCGGGGTCGGGCGGGGGCGCGGGGCGCGGGGCCCTCGGGTCGGTCCGAGAGGCTGCGCGAGGCTGCGAGAGGCAAGCCGCCAGTGGCCAAGCAGTGGCCAGTACAGGCCGGGCCCCGGGCCTCAGAGTGTTTGACGGCGGCCTCGGCGAGGCGAGCCAAAGGCAAGCCAGCCAAAGGCAAGCCAGCCAAAGCATGGCGGCCTTCGTTTACGTTCGTGCGGTCGCCCTCTTCCTGGCCGTCGCCGTCGCAAGTGCGTAGTGTGCTCTTCCATTCCGCGTCGCCGTCGTAGTGCTGCCGAGTTCGTGGTGTAGTGTCTGGACTCCCCGCCACCCTGGACGCCCTGGTGCTTCCCCGGTCCCGCTCCTCGTACCCCCACGTCCTTCACAAAGCCTCTCCGTTGTTCGTAATGTCATCTCCACGCGTGTCCGTGCCGCTCCGTGCTGCTCCGCCCCGCGCCCCTGCCCCCTCCCCCTCCCCGTGCCCGCCCACCACAGCCGGAGATGTCAACTACCTCTTGACAATGATCGCCCGGTTCGCTGTGATGCCGCGGCATGGCCGCATGGCCGCATCGTCGTGATGGTTGATGCGCGTGGCGCGGGGCCGATCAAGCTAGCAGCCTCCGCAGCCTCGCCGCGCGCTGCCCCGGCCTCGTCGGCCTGGTCGGCCTCGTCACGGCAGTGTGATGGCTGCATTGCCGCTGCCACACTGTCATCTGTCACGCCAGCGCACCGACCGCCAGAAAAGCCACGCGCTTTCAAAGCCTGGAAGAAAAGAAAATCAAAATGCGAGTTGAGTTTGTGACTTTGCGGTGTCGCAGGTTGCGGCGTGGCGGCGACCCCCGTCCTGAGCGAGGGCGTCCAGGGTGTCCAGGGCGTCCAGGACGCAGCGCCCGTGCCGGAGCCCGCACAGTCACTGGACGATGCGGTGGCGGCTGGCGCCGAGGACGCCGCGGAGGCGGCCAAGGCCCAGAAGCTGATGGAGCAGGTGCGCTCCGTGCTGGAGCACTTCAAGCAGTCCGACCCCACGGGCTTCCCCGGCGCCGAGGTGCCGGACCCCATGGACGTGCCGCCCATGAACACGTCGTTCGCCATCGCCACCATGAACTTCGAGAACGTGACAGTGCACGGCCTCAGTCGCTTCCGCTTCCACGAGGCCCGCGTCAACTTCACCGCCATGAAGGTGAGCTTGAGGCCGAACCTGCCACCCGCACGCAGGCACGACGGCGGACCAGCCTACCTACGCAGGCGCCTAGTCCACGCCGCCGAACTTATCCTAAAATAGGAACCGCCGCAGAGTGTGCTAGAAGACCGGCGCAGGCGGCCAAAACTCTAGACGCGTTTTGAGCTCCAGCGTCGCTAAACAGGACTCGAACCGAACGTGTGACCCCACCAATCGATTCCTCGTTCGGAGAGCAATCCATCGGTGAGGTCACACGTTCGTTCGGTTTGAGTCCCATGCAGCGACTCTGGAGCTGAATTTTGACCGCGTCCACCGGCCTTCTGGCAAATCCACTGCGCGCCGCTGGTAATCCCTCCTCTTCCAGGCTGAGGTGGCGGCACGCATCGACGCCGTGCTCATCCTGGGCAACTACACGCTGTGCACGTGGTTCAGCTGCTCGGCGGGCGGCTTCACCGTCACCCTGGACGGCGTCCTGGTGAGCGGCGTCGCCGGCCTGGAGGTCGGGCCCGGCGGCCGCCTCAGGGCCGAGGAGATCGGCATGGACGTCACCTTCGACGGCATCGCCATGGACTTCAAGAACCTCGGCCTCATGATGTCCATGTTCCAGGTCAGTTTGTCCTTTTGGCCGCGCCTGCACCTGTGAGAACGCGAAGGCAGAGGAGGGTGCCGGAGCGGCCGTTTTTCACCCACAGCGGAGGGTTGAGTGGCGATGGCTTTCTTTGGAGTTGGGCAAGTAGCAGGCTGCAGAGGGCGGCGAGGGCGGCGGCCTACAGTGGGCCAGAAGACCGTTGGAGGCGGCCAAAACTCTAGACGCGTTTTGAGCTCCAGAGTCGCTAAATGGGACTCGAACCGAACGTGTGACCCCACCAATGGATTGCTCTCCGAACGAGGAATCGATTGGTGGGGTCACACGTTCGGTTCGAGTCCTATTTTAGCGACTCTGGAGCTCAAAACGCGTCTAGAGTTTTGGCCGCCTCCACCGGCTTCTGGCCCACTGTGCGGCCCTCCATTCAAGCCTCGTCTCCCTGAGAGCGCGCTGGCGCTCGCTGGCGCTGCAGGCCGAGCACTGCTCGTGTCAGTCTGTCTCTCTCGCACCCTCTCGGGACGCCCCGTGAGTGCAAGAGAGACAGTCCGACGGAATCAGCCTGCTGCCGAGCCGAGGCCGCCGGGGCCGCCGAGTCTCTCGAGGGGGCGCCTCGGCTCTGCCACGGCACTGCCATTTGTGTGCGCATCTCGTAGGCACAATCCGCACAATCGAAGCACGATGACGAGATTTCCCTTTACTACGCTTTCACTCACACACCCACACTGCCCCCCCCCCCACATACTCACACACACACACATACTCACACACACACGCACACACACACACACACACACGCACACACACACACACTCAGCCAGTCGGCCCGTATCTCGATGACGTTGAAGCCAATACTGCCGAGCAGACGACAGACGATGACATACGTGGGTTGAGAGGGACACGTACTGTTCCTCTCCCCTCGTGTTGACATGTGCGCGCGAAGATGCACATCGCTGTGGTAGTGAGAGCGATAAGGTTGTAGGCTCTATCGCAACACTCACACATACACACACACACACTCACACGCGCGCGTGCGATGCCACTTGAACACGTTTTTCTCCTGTTTGTTTTCGCTTTTTAAAAATTGGCTACACGCAGAAAGTCCTGTTTGGACGAAAAAAGTGAGCAGCGCGTCGGCGCCGTGCCGACGCCCTGTCACTGCAGGCACGAGTTCGCTATCACTTTATTGACCCACATTGATTATTCACGAATAAAGAGTACAGGCGGCGGGGCGGGCAGGGTTGGCAAATTGCAAGTGTGTGTGTGTGTGTGTGTGTGTGTGTGTGTGTGTGTGAGAGAGAGAGAGAGAGAGAGAGAGAGAGAGAGAGAGAGAGAGAGAGAGAGAGAGAGAGAGAGAGTGATGAGACGGCTCAGGCGAGGCTCATATGATGAGTGGATTATTAGTCGATGTCAATCCAGCCGACTGAAATGTTCGGTCACTTTTAATTATTTGGCTTTGACAAACATATTTAATTTATTTTTATTTTTTTGACGTCTGGGGTGTGCCAGATTATTTTTTGTTTCGATTTTATCAAGGATCACGAGTGAAAGCATTGGCCATGGGGTTGGAAGGGAACGAAGGTTGGTGGAGAGGGAGTGGGTGGGGCGCGGTAGAGCACTGCTGGAAACAATGGGATTAAAAAGCAGCCCCCTGATTCCGAGAGTCGATTTCGTCGCTCTGTCTCTCTCGCACTCACGGGGCGTTCCGTACAGGTGCGAGAGAGACAGAGCGTCGAAAACTACTCTGGGAATGAGTGTACAGGCGATGCGAAAATAGAATTGAGGGATCTCACGCCACGGCGAGTTTCTCTTCTTCCTCGCGGTCTTCCGGCGCTTCGGTTCGTGCTCCGCTCTGCTCCGCTCTGCTTGACGCGCCACTCCACTGCACGCAGGGCATCATCAACAAGGTGGGCTCGTTCCTGTTCGACAACGTCAAGCCCTTCATCCTGTCCGAGGTCAACACCAAGATCCGCGCCGAGGTGGACAAGCAGGTGGCCGGCGTGGACGTGCGCTTCCCCAGCTCCATGGCGCCCATCGACATGATGGTGGCGGACGCGCGGCACGCCGTCAGGACCATGGGCTACGACCCGTACCGCCTGCCCGACGTCACCAAGAAGGTACTGTGTTGCTATCTTTTTAAACCTTTGGAGGCAGGGGCGGAATACTGGCTCCGAGAGTCGTCGCTCTGTCTCTCTCACACTCACGGGGCTTCCCGTATAGGTGCGAGAGAGACAGGGCCACGAAAACGACTCTTGGAATCAGTCTGCAGGGCCCTCAGGAGCAAAAGTAAACATTTTCCCCAAAGTTAAATGCTGAATTTTGCCTGAATACCGGGTCCGTCGCCGTTTGGAATAGTGTCCACGCGGGTGGGCCGAGTGATCCCATCACCACGGTCGCATTATTCAACGGGTTCACGGCCTTGGAGCGTCGCAGCCTCGGTCGCAGCCCACGCGCGAAAAAATATTTAAAAGAAAAAAAAATTCCACGTCGGTGAGACACACGTCAACAGTATAGCCGGGCCAACTGAACCACTCCGCTCCACTCCAGTCCGCTCCACTCCGGGGGAGCGACATCGTTTTGTTTTGGACCTTCAACCCGTCAAGCGCGGCGGCAGCGCGGCGGCAGCGCGGCGGCCTGTCAGGCTCGTGCAGCAGTGGAGTGCACTCCACCTCATCTGCACACGATATGCCGAGCATTGCCGAGCGCCCTCTAAATGGAGGCCCCCTCCCCCTGAGTGGTCTGGAGACAGAGACACACTGGAGTACCAATTGCCGCCCTTCCCCACCAGTCTCTCTCTCTCTCTCTCTCTCTCTCTCTCTCTCTCTCTCTCTCTCTCTCTCTCTCTCTCTCTCTCTCTCTCTCTCTCTCTCTCTCTCGCACCTATGCGGGACGCCCCACGAGTGCGAGAGAGACAGAGCGACGAAAACGACTCTCGGAATCAGTCTGCAGGCTCGTGAGCGCAACAGGATGAGAAAGTGATGCGTCAACATCTCGAGCTCGCCCCGCCCCGCCCCGCTCGCGAGCACCTCGACTTGTCTTCTCAACACAATAACAAAGCGTTGCTTTTTATTCGGCGCGCAGATGGGCCCGCTGCAGGCGACGCTGAGCCACCTGTTCGCGACGGGGCTGTCCTCGTTCTACCGGCGCGGCAACGTGACGGTGTGGATGAAGGAGCACGTGCTGCACGCCGGCATCCACCTGGCCACCAAGCGCCTGCGCGGCACCTGCAGGTGGCTCGTGCACTCGCCCGACGCGCCCAGCGTGCTGCAGCGACTCATGCGGCGCAGCGGCGACGCGTCCTTCACGGTGGACTACCTGGAGGTAAGGGGCAAAAAAAAAAAAAGAAATTAAAACATCAGAAAAACTTTGAAAAAAATTAAAAAGGGGTCGTGTTGGAACCCCTAAAAAAGTGCCATATGAGCAGGCAAACGAAAGCGCTCGTCGATGGCTCGTAGGAAAAAAGGCCGATGTCGCGCGCTCCCTGGTAGAAGGCACGATGTCCCGCGCTGCCTGGTAGAAAGACCGATGTCAAGCGCTGTCTAAAACGGCCATGTTTGACAAGTTATATCTCCTAAACCGTTAGAGTTAGGTCGGTACAGTAAGCGAGCCGATTGTAGATCTAAGTTGGAACTAGAATCGGCTCCCTTACTGTACTGACCTAACTCTAACGGTTTGAGAGATATAACTTGTCTGGCCGTTTTAGACAGCGCTTGACATCGGTCTTTCTACCAGGCAGCGCGGGACATCGTGCCTTCTACCGGGGAGCGTGCGACATCGTGCCTTCTACCAGAGAGCGCGCGACATCGGCCTTTGTTCCTAGGAGCCATCGTCGTGTCGAAAGGGTTGCCAACCTCAGCCTGTCCACTGGGCAAAATTTGGGCTTTGCACTCGAGAAGCTGACACTGGTGCGTCGTGAGAATTTTCCTCCTGCTCGTGTGGCAACACCGGGATAGAGTCCTTGAGCTTAGGGTGCCGCTGCACAGTGGGCCAGAAGACCGGTGGAGGCGGCCAAAAGTCTAGACGCGTTTTGAGCCCCAGAGTCGCTAAATGGGACTCGAACCGAACGTGTGACCCCACCAATGGATTGCTCTCCGAACGAGGATTTCATTGGTGGGGTCACACGTTCGGTTCGAGTCCTGTTCAGCGACTCTGGAGCTCAAAACGCGTCTGGAGTTTTGGCCGCCTCCACCGGTCTTCTGGCCCACTGTGCGCTGCGAGCCGAGCGCCTGTCGTTCCGAGCGTAGGCAGTCCCGCGCGCACGGCCGCGGTCGGGTTGCCTACCCTCCCGGCTGAGAGGTCCCGCACCCTGAAGCGGTCAAAAGCGCGGACGCGTTTTGAGCTCCAGAATCGCTAAATGGGACTTGAGCCGAACGTGTGACCACACCAATGGATTGCTCTCCGAACGAGAATTTCATTGGTTGGGTCACACGCTTGTTTCGAGTCCTGTTTAGCGACTCTGGAGCTCAAAACGCGTCTGGAGTTTTGACCGCCGGCGCCGGTCACTGCGCGCTGGTTCCGCTGACGCGCTGACGCCGTCCCCCGCCGTTCCAGGTGAAGGCGGTGTTCAACCAGAGCCTGGACACGCGCAAGCACCCCTACCTGGAGTCGCTGGACGTGACGCTGGGCCCGATGACGCTCGTGTCGCGGGGCGACGCGGGCAAGCTCAACGCCCTCACCGAGTTCGGCGTCAACGTGCTGCCCAACCTGATCCGCTACCAGGTGGTGGACGCCCTGGAGGAGCCCCTCCGGCAGCGCGTGCAGAAGGAGCTGGACAACGTCAACGTGGAGGACCTCATCAACGAGAAGCTGCAGGAGGCGCTCAAGGCGGCGCCGGCCTCCACGACGGCGACCTCGGTGACGACGCCGGAGCCCGTGGAGACAACCGCGTCGTGACCAACCTCACGGCGGCGAGGCCGTCAGCGGGAAAGACGAAGCCACGTTCGGAGTTCGCCAACGTGCCATGAAGTACCTTGCTTGCAAGAATGACCTGCATACTCCGAGCGTTCGCCCTCGAGACTATGGCGATCGGCGACTGCGCGAGGCTAGAGCCCTTTTGCCTACCTCGGCAGCAGCTCCGGAACAGTCATTTTCTACTACTACACTACTACCACGACTGCGAAACGAACCGCCAGAGATCTCACAGCAGCCAGCAGCCGCTTTAGCTCAATTATGTTTCCAAGTCTTCGGCATTTCTTCACCTGCCGACTGAACCAAAATACAAAATAAATCCCCTAAAACTCGCTTACTGAACTTATTCCGTTTTTTTTAAAACAGAGTTGCCTTGCTTACCGCTGGAGCTCTGCTGCTGCGCTCTTCTCCGCATCGAAACCGACAGGCAGGCGCCGCACAGTGGGTCAGAAGACCGGCGGAGGCGGCCAAAACTCTAGACGCGTTTTGAGCGCCAGAGTCGGTAAACAGGACTCGAACCGAGCCTGTGACCCCACCAATGGATTGCTCGTTCGGAGAGCAATCCATTGGTGTGGTCACACGTTCGGTTCGAGTCCCACTTAGCGACTCAGGAGCTCAAAACGCGTCTAGAGTTTTGGCCGCCTCCGCCGGTCTTCTGGCCCACTGTGCGGCGCCTTGCACGACCAGCCCATCGCGGTTTGGAAACGGAAAGATGGGGAGGGGGGGGGGAGGGGGGAACTACAAGTACGGCCTGTGTTCTCCGGGGGCATCCTACAAGCCGCGCCGCGCCACGCCACGCCACGCCACGCTTTCCCGCTGCTTGTCAACAATTCATTACGCTGGAGGGACGCGAAAGGGGTGTTGCTGAGTGATGCTTACAATTTGTCTCGCAGGCCTGCGAGGAAGGAAAGGGGGGAGGGGGGAGCTTTAAATGATGTCGAGACTTGACACATGGACCGTCGAGCAATTTGTCGACGCCCCCTCTCCCTCTTCTCCCCCTCCCCCCCTTCCCTCGCCCTCCCCTCTCACTGTGTTATATTCCCACGTACTCTACGTGTGTGTAATACCCCTGTACTCAGCACTGTAATTAGAAAACGTGCGCGCGTGGATGGGCTGTGTCTGTCTGTCTGTCTGTCGCTGCGCACGCGTGTCCGTCCGTCCGTCCGCCCGGCTGGGCTGCATGCTCGCACCCAGCAAGGGACGCAGTGCACGCCGTGGACGGGGATGGCGTCGGCACGCGTCCTCTCCGCGACGTTTCGGTGCCGGAGGCTGAAAACCCCCCAACGGCCGCGAAAAACGTCTTAGTCGTGTGTCCGCTCGCCCGTGAAATGGGATGGCGGCCCGAATCGGGCGGACTGATGATGATTGCTGGTTTCCTGGTTTCGTTTTCATTGGAGGGGCCGGGCCTTTTCCTGCTGCTGCGATGCTGTCGCTCTGTCTCTCTCGCGCGCACGGCGAGGCCTGGCGAGGCCTGGCGAGGCCTGCTGGGTGCGAGAGAGACAGAGCGACGAGGTCTGGCCCTTCTCTTCCACTCGGCTGGCCACGCCGCGGCCTTCCTCGCAAGCGGCGTGGCCGTGGCAGCGCGGCAGTGGCGTGGCAGCAGTGGCTGGCGTGGCGGAGGCCAGGGCGGCCGGGACGGCGCCCAGCTCGGCCTCCTCCAGCACCGCGTTGCAATATTAATAGTGCGAGGAATGTGGCGGCGCTGGCCTCGGCCAGGCCGAGGGCGAGGCAGGCCCGCCCGCCGCGCGCCAAATCGTGGCCCGCCACTGCTGCCCCCTCCTACTACCCCCTCCACCGCCCCCTCCCATCTACCCCCGGCTGCTTTCTTCACAGCTCCCTGTCCACCCACATTTATTGGCCACAGGCACACAATTCGTGCTTCAGGCCGGCGAGCCCCTCCGCGGGCGTGTGCCCCTCTTCGCCCACCCGCTCCAAAAAAGAGAGGGAGAGATGCCAACACCTCCTAACCATGATGAAATGTTTTAATAAGCGCTGGCTGCGGCGAGGCGGCGTTTAACCAGCGTTAAATAGGGCACAGCAATCACGGAATCGATTGCAAATGCCTTCCTCCCGCTCCTCCTCCTCCTTCTTCTTCTCCTGGTCGGGCGAGCGCGTCGCGCGGCGGGGCGGCCGGGTCTCCAAGGCGACGTTACGCACAAACTAGCAATCTGCCTTATTTATAAGCACGAACGGTCCCGAGCTCCTCGCCTTCATGTCCAGAGGCTGAGGCTGGCCGCCAGGCAGACGCCTCCTTGCCCGCACCGGGCGCCCCGCCCCCGCCCCGCCCCCGCCCCGCCCCGCCCCCGTACCCGCCCCGCCCCCGTACCCGCCCCCGCCCCGCCCCCGCCCCCGCCCCGCCCCGCCCCCGCCCCGCCCCCGCCCCGCCCCCGCCCCGCCCCCGCCCGTCTCGCCGTCTCGGTTCTCCCTGGACGGCCGGGACGGCCTGGACCCGACAGAACACCCCACCCTCCGTTTCGTTGGCAGTGGCGTTGTAGTATTTTTGTTCCCTTTTTTGGGCGTATTGCGGCGTATTGGTGTTGGCGACGGCACGCCGCGGTCGAGGACTGGTCTAGGAGTTGGCCTGTCTCAAGACCACCAGCTGCGAGCACGTCCAGCCGGCCACCTGCGAGACCACAACGCCATCCTGAGCACCGTCACGGTTTTTTTTAAATGAAAAAGTAAGTTTTACAGGCCGAAATTTCAAAAAAATTAAGGTTTTTTAAAAAGAAATGTGAGCGCTTCTTACGGAGACGACGAGGTCCATCTCCAGGGAGACGAGGCCGCTGGCGTTGAAGGAGACCTGGTTCGTGTCCGCGCACTGCGTCACGAACTCCATCGTCTCCCGCTCCTCCGGGCGCCACTCCGTGAAGTCCACCTTGACCAGCTCGCGCAGGACGGCTTTACACTGCCGACGGCGTCAGACTTCGCTAGCGAGCCTGTCGACTGTCTCTCTCGCACTCATGGGGCGTCCCGTCAGGGTGCGAGAGAGACAGCGACAAAAGCAGAGCTCGGAGTCAGTCGGCTGGCGACGTTTTGAGGTCCGGAGTCGCTAAATGGGACTCGAACCGAACGTGTGGCCTCACCAATGGATATCTTTCCGAACGAGGAATCCATCACACGTTTGAGTCGAGTCTCATTGAGCGACGCTAGTGCTAAAAACGTTTCTAGAGATTTGGCCGCCTGCGCCGGTCTTCTGGCCCACTGTGCGACGGCTCACCCTGTTGGTGGTCCTGGTGGCCCACCAGGACACGATGATGAGGTGCGTTATGGACATGAGGGGCATGAGGAGCGACTCGGACTCGGCGAACACATCGGTGGAGTCGGACATGACGAAGCGGTACAGGTTGAGCAGGATCTCGGCGCGCGCCTGCAGGGTGTCCATGACCAGGAAGGGGCCCAGCGCGCCGATGAAGTCCCCGCACGCCGTGACCACCGCGGGGTACGCGGCGGCCAGGGTACGCAGCCGCCACAGCCGGTCAGCGGCGCGCCCTGCATCGCAAGCACGTCAGCATGACGTCAGGGTGACGTCAGCGAGCAAGGGCCCGGCAAGGCAAGTGTGCGGCCCGGTCATACTGACGGGGGTTGTCCAGGTCCTTGATGGTCGAGAGCATCCGTTTGAAGTTCTCGTCGCCCAGGCGGCACATCACGATGAACAAGGCCTCCACGTAGCGCGGCGCCAGGAAGGCGTAGTTGATGGCCAGGCTCTCGAACACGCCACCTGGGGGGCGACGTGGGGGGCGACGTGGGGGGCGACGTGGGGGGCCACCTGGGGGGCCGCGGGGAGGCCTACGCGGGGGGCCGCCGCCCACAGGGTTGGCAGGGGGGCCGCCCACAGGATCCCCAGATGGACCGCCCACAGGGTTGGCAGGGGGGCCGCCCACAGGATCCCCAGATGGACCGCCCACAGGGTTGGCAGGGGGGCCGCCCGCGGGATTGCCAGAAGGGCCACCCACTGGGTTGGCAGGGGGGCCACCGACAGGACTGCCAGGGGGACCACCCACAGGATTGGTGGGGGAGCCGGACTGCCTTCTGAAGCGTTGATACGCTTTTAAATCAGTGGAAACTGGAGGACCAAGTCTCACCAAACGCTCTGTAGCGATACTAAGCCCAGGGAAGCCAGAAGGCGCAGTTGCAGGACTGGATAGGGGCGGGTCCTGGGGTGGGCCGTCTGGTGCGGGTGGGCCTGGAGGTGGGCCTTCAGGTGGGCCCCCGGGAGGGCCCCCGAGAGGGCCCCCGGGAGGGCCCCCGAGAGGGCCCCCGGGAGGGCCCCCGGGAGGGCCCCCGGGAGGGCCCCCGGGAGGACCGGGACGTCCGGCCGGGCTGAGGGTCATGAACAGGAACTGTGCACTTTGGTAGTACATCAAGAAGGCCGTCAAGATGAAGAAAAGCATCCCCCGGAATCTGTTCGGCTGCAGCGCGAAGAAAATTCAACATTCAGCGGCTTGCAAACACTGCTAAAAGATAAGTTGCCACGCCCCACAGTGGGCCAGAAGGCCGGCGCAGGTGGCCAAAACTCGAGACCCGTTAGGTCAAGAGTCGCTAAATGGGACTCGAACCGAACGTGTGACCCCACCAATGGACTGCTCTCGAGGGGGTAACGACTTCGGGAATCCGGCTGACAGCAAATTGGTAATCCGTAATCCGGATAACCCGAATTTTTGAGGTAATCCGGGGTAATCCGGGAAAATTTTGAGGTAATCCGGGGTAATCCAGGAATTTTTTTGTTGTAATCCGGAGGTAATTTGGGGGTAATCCGGGGTAATCCGAGGTAATCCTTAATCCGGCTGACACGAAATTTTCCAGTCGTAACCCCCTCGACTGCTCTCCGAACGAGGAATCCATTGGTGGGGTCACACGCTCGGTTCGAGTCCCATTTAGCGACTTTGCAGCTCAGAAAGCGTCCGGGATTTTGACCGCCTCCGGTCTTCTGGCCCACTGTGCGTTGGCGCCGTTGGCACCACCTGCCTTGGTGCCCGAGACGCCCATCAGGACGTGGAACTCCCGGAGCATGGCGTTGGCGGCGCGGTGCAGCATGGCGCGTCGGGACAGCGTCACCACCACGGACACCGTCGTCGCCAACAAGTTCATCCCCCTGGTGCACACGTTGAAGAGGGCCTGGACAACGCCAAACAAGTCGAGGGGGTAACGACTTCGGGAATCCGGCTGACAGCAAATTGGTAATCCGTAATCCGGATAACCCGAATTTTTGAGGTAATCCGGGGTAATCCGGGAAAATTTTGAGGTAATCGGGGTAATCCAGGAATTTTTTTTTGTTGTAATCCGGAGGTAATTTGGGGGTAATCCGGGGTAATCCGAGGTAATCCTTAATCCGGCTGACACGA